CGCTGCGGCGTCGGAGCTGGGAAGGGGGACGCGGGGTAAACGCGCTGTGGCGTCGGAGCTGGGAACAGAACACTGGGGAACAGACTCTATGGGCGAATAGAGATAAGCCCGACTGGTGTGAAGGGCTTTGGATTATGCTTGCTTGGAAACTAACCCCAATAAACATCACATTGTCTGCGCTTCGGACTTCTGGTCTTTTGCTACTTGCTGTCTGCGTGACAAGAACCAGGGAAGTGGGAGAGTGAATGGACAGCCCTCTAACAGTGAGCAGCTGGTCAAGAGGAACACGGCCCCTAGTTGGCTCCTCCAGCACTTGCACCAGGAAGTTGTCCCCAACACTCTCCAGAAGCTTCCTGGATTGTCTGTGCACCGCTGTATTACTCTCCCAGCAGATGTCAGGGTGATTGAAGTCCCCCATGAGAACCAGGGCCTGTGATCTGGAAACTTCTGTTAGTTGTCCAAAAAATCGTCATCTACCTCATCCTCCTGGTCTGGTGGTCTATAGCAGACGCCCACCACGACATCACCCTTGTTGCTCTTGCCTCTAAACTTAACCCAAAGACCCTCAACAGGCTTTTCTCCAGTTTCATACTGGAGCTCTGAGCAATCATACTGCTCTCTTACATACAGTGCAACTCCTTCACCTTTTCTCCCCTGCCAGTCCTTCCTGAACAGTTTATACCCATCCATGACAGTGCTCCAGTCATGTGAGCTACCCCACCAAGTCTCTGTTATTCCAATCACATCATAGTTCTTTGACTGTGCCAGCAGAGGCGTAGCGAGCGCCCTCCGTACCCTCCGACCAGAGGGGGCCCCACAAGGAAGGGGGCCCCTAAAAGTGGCAAAATAAATACCGCATTCCAGTTTCTGCATTGTAAGGGGCCCCGCCCGGACATATGTTCGGAGGGGGCCACTGTTCGGAGGGGGCCACATTCTTTGTTGCTACGGCCCTGTGTGCCAGGACTTCCAATTCTTCCTGCTTGTTTCCCAGGCTTCTTGCGTTCATGTACAGGCACCTAAGATAACTAGCCGATTGCCCTACTTTCTCTGTATGAATCAGGAGACCGCCCTTGTTGCACCCTCCTCCTTGTGTTTCCTACCGGTATCCCACTTCCCCACTTACCTCAGGGCTTAGGTCACCGTCCCCTGGCGAACCTAGTTTAAAGCTCTCCTCTCTAGGTTAGCAAGCCTGCCTGCGAAGATGCTCTTCCCTCTCTTCGTTAGGTGGATTCCATCTCTTCCTAGTAATCCTTCTTCCTGGAACAACATCCCATGGTTGAAGAATCCAAAGCCCTCTCTCCGATACCACCTGCATAACCATGCATTTACCTCCACAATTCGATGGTCCCTATCTGGGGATGGTTTCCTTGGGGACGATGTTCCCTGCCCTTCTGCCCTCAGCCCTCATAGCAGGACGATGAAGCTTGTGAATGTTTGTGCAGCACTTGGCAGATGTGAGACTCGTTAGCAAAGGACAGAAGAATGAGGCAATAAACGGACATGTAGTGAACAGCTATTGTATTGTTACCTCAGCTCTTTGTCATCAGTTTTGAACAAACAGAAGATAATAAAGCAATGCTTTCCAACCTCTTTTCAAGTGCAGACCCCCTAAAACATTTCAAATGGAGGTGCAGACCCCACTGTAATAAGGTGATAAGTAACATTCAGCATGGATTTGTCAAGAACAAATTGTGTTAATCCAGCCTAATCACTTCCTTTGACATGGTAACAAGCCTTGTGGATGGGGAGAAGCGGTAGATGTGGTATATCCTGAATTCTTATAAACAAACTAGGGAAATAGAGCCTAGATGGAGATAGTATAAGATGGGTGCATAACTAGTTGGAAAACTGTTCCAGTACTTATCAGTAATTCACAGTCAAGCTGGAAGGGCATAACGAGTGGAGTCCCACAGGGAACGGACCTGGGTCTGGTTCTGTCCAATGATTTAGATAATGGCATAGAGAGCACCCTTATAAAGTTTGCAGACAATACCAAGCTGGGAGGGGTTGCAAGTGCTTTGGAGGATTGGCTGCTGCTCTTTTAATCTGGCTGCAGACCAAGGCCTTAGGCCTTACAATAACAGTCTTCAAATACATAAAAAGTTGTTAGAAGGAGGAGGGGGGAAATTTGTTCTCTTTAACCTCTGAGGATAGGACAAGAAGCAATAGGCTTAAATTGCAGGAAGGGAGGTTTAGGTTGGTGTCGTGGGGTAGATACACCCCATTGAGGGGTGTTGGGTCGAGGCAGACAATTGAAGGGTTAGCTCAAGCAGTGAGAGTCACTGGGGTGTCCCGTCTTTAGGGTAGTGTGGCCTAGTGGCCAGAGTCCTTAAAGCTGCCCTTCCTCTCAGGATAGCGTGACCTACCAGCCAGTCACACAGTAGCCGAGATTCCCTGCGGAGTCAAGCTATCATCGCCACCAGGAACTTTGGGCCCCTACACGGGGTGAAACAAATGGACTGTCTATAGTCCCTCGGCCTCCTGGCAGGGGCAAACAATAGCCATTCAGGGGCCCTGACCCCCTTGGGCTGGGCAGAGCAAACAGTCAATAGCCTCTTGCTCTCTCTATGGAAGGAACCATAGACTGTAACTAGGGCCCTTTGTTTTCGGTTTTTATTTTATTTGTTTTTCCCAGGAATTTATTGGTGCTTATTACTACAGCAACAACAACAGCTGAAAATCGGTGCAAAACTCTATTAATAATTTTTCTGGGTAAATATCGTGGTTTATCTTGGTGGATGGAAGGATAAGCGGAAAAACTATTCAGTAGATTAATGCTTTGATTAATGGAATTCGATGTGGTTTGCTGCAGAACTAAAACAGAACTCAGAACACAATGCAAACAGCGTGAGATTCACAGATTGCATGAGTGCCTGTTTGTTTATTGGGTGTATCTTACAGATTAATTTATAGTCTTACTTCAACAAGCTGCTTCGCATATACACAG